GACCCACGGCCAGCCCTGCGTAGGGCCGGTGAGGCCCCAGCTCTGTGGACTTCCCGGTGTGGCTCCTCACGCCCGAAGCCCCCGGTAGCGAACGACAGTGACCCAAGCAGCACCCCCAGGTGCGGGTGATCCCCACACCTTCCAGTGAGGCAGGCGACGCGAAACCCCACTTCACAGATGCTGTTCCCAGGGCGCCTGGCACACACGTGGAGACCCGAGGAGGCGCCACTGGGCCCCCGCGCTGCGGCCTCTTCCCTGGCCAGCTCTGCTCAGCCCTGATGTCGCCTCCCTAGGGAAGCCTTCCTGGGTGTGCCTGCGCTGAGCCAGAGGCCCCTCGCCACTTCGCCACCCATCTTCCTCCTGGGATGGCGGGGAAACCGCTCCCGGTCCACGCGGAGCAGGCCCTGGTGGACAGCCGCCGACAGGCCAGGACAGAGCAGGCGGCCGGGCGGCTGGAGCCTGCACGGGGGTGGAAGCTGGGGAGAGGAGGGACTATGTGGCTTATACGAGCTTCACGGTGCCCCCGCTGCCAGTCGCGACATTGTCCCCAAATAGGGGAGGTTCCCCCAGGAGATACAGAGGCTTCGAAAAGGCCCTGGAGCCCACGGTGAGAGTGGCAGCTGCCTGGGGGTCCTAGCTGGTGGCCACAGGACGCCCGAGACATGGAGAACCAGGGAGCCAGGGGACATGTGGTGAGGCCATGGGTCTCAGCCCCAAGAAAACACCTCCTCGAAGCAACTCCCCCAAATCACTCGGGAATTAATTCCCTGAAAGGCACGTGCTACTCGACCCCAAAGTCACAGACCCGAGACTTCCCAGCCCAGCGTCCTCGGAGCGGCCCATGTGAGGTGTCCTGCTGGAGGCCTCTGGGACCAGCAGATTTGGGAAAGTCCCCTCCGGCCACCCAGGGCCTCGGTGCCCTGGAGGCGGCCAGCCCTGCCATGACGACTGTCGGATGAAAGCTGGGCGGTGGTGCGGCCACGCGTGTTTCATCAACGCGCACCACGGGTTGAGCACGGCACCAGCTCGGGAGGGTCAATCCCCCTCAAGGAGCAGATGGGGCGACCTGGGCGAGTGGGCCGCAGGCCATGGAGACGAGTGGCGTGGAGGGGGACGGGGCAGGCGGTGCCTGGCAGGGACGGCTCCTTCAGGAATCCCTGGCGGAGAAAAGACTGTTCCAGGAAGAGGGAACAGCAACAGTGCTAGATCTGAGGCAGGGACGGGGAGACAAGATGGTCAGCGTGTGGCTCTAGCCCAGGCCTCTTCGACCTGGAGACATGGATGGCCAGTGTCCCCTGGTCCCTCTGGGCAGGAGGCTGCCCGAGTGTCTGACGCCCGCACAGTGAGTCCTCAGGATGCCACGGGCAGCAGCCAGGCGTCGACAACGGCCGCCATGTCCTTGCAGGTGTCTGGGCCTTGCCCCGAGCTTCCCCCTTGGCAGGCGTATGGCCTGGTCCCCGTGAGTCCTCTGTGGGCATTGGTGACACTTCATTGCAGAGAAGCCAGCCCTGGCTGGGCTCACTGCGCTCCTGCTCTCGGCCGGTGGTTCAGTGGCAGCTACCCTCCTCTACCTCCATGCCCCGGGCCGGAGGGTCGCGGGGAGCGCGGGGCCTGCAGTGCTGGGTGGGGGCTGGCTCCTCCCCTCAGCCCGGCTTCTCTGCAGGGACCACACAGTCCACTCTTGCTGCAGGTTGGTCTGGGTCCTCACGTCTACGTGTGGGGACTCCTTCCTTCCCAGGTCCCTTCCTCCCCATGTGGCCCCAGGCGTGGGGCCTCCCTCTGTAGCAGGGCCGAGCCGCAGCCCACCCCTGCAAGGCACCGTGACCCACACCTGCAGCGTGAGCGAGAGGGGCTGGCGCGGGCGGGCCGCAAGCCGGGGCCTGGATGGCGTCCGCCCGACCTGCGCGTTCACCCTCCCGGAAAGCACAGCCGGGCGAGGTCTGGTCTGGTACCCGCATGGGTGCTCACGCCGCGTCTCGTGGGAACGGGGGCTGCGCGGCCTTCTGGGCAGTGGCATTCCTGGGATCAGCACCCCCTTTCCCCACGCCAGGGCCCTCCGAGAGCCTCCAGGGCAAGGAGTACTCGGGAGTATCAGGTAACCCGCGGGCAGGGGCTGCCTGGGTCCCTGGGGGCCAGGCCAACCGCTCGGGCTCCAGAAATCCAGCGGCCCCGGCTGGGCTGACTCTTCACGGTAGCAGGAAGGAAAAAACCCCTCCGTGTGGGAGCGTTCCACAAAGGGCGCCTGACGCTCTCCACTTGTGCCTCATTAACATTCCGCAGACAGCCCTGCGGCTTAATAACGCTGAACAGGCTGAATGGACGGCACCGAACACCACCCCGCATTCGGGAAACCGCGAGGCTGCCTCCCCCAGCCCGCTGGCCACGCCCGACCTGCCATTAGCATGCACAGAGAGCCCCCATTTGCATCGGGACAATGGTCCTACCACCGAAGCCGGAGCTGCGGGGGCACCGGGCATTTGTTGGCACAATCACCCTTTGTGCCACTCCAGTGCGCAGGCGGGGAGCGCATCCAGGGGCTCGCCGAGATGTGGCCCGGCCCGAGCCAAATCCGGGGCTTGGTTTTGCCTGGGGACTCCGCAGTAGGAAGCCCAGGAAGGCCCCACGCAGGGAACGGCCACGGCCCCTTTCTGGAACACTCCTGCCCTCCCCACGCTGCGGCGTGGGGACCAGGTACGGGTCTGCCGCCCAGGAACACGCTGGAGTGTGGCCGCCTGCGGGCACCAAGGGGTGGGAGCAGTGTGGGCTTGTCACCTCTGCCCTGCTTGAGACGGTGACAGAATCCTCGCTGTCAACTGCCAACAGGCTGGAATGTTCTACTAGGCCCTGGAATGCTCTGGTCAGTCCCAGGACCTGGGAAGAGGTCTGAGAGGGGGAGGGGCGGACTCGGAAATGACCAAAGAGCACAGAGGCACCTCCTGCGCAGGACGGGTGCGGCACACGGTTCCGGCTCCGGACCCCGCGTCTCCTGGCTCGGGAGGGCGACGTCTGCAGACGGCCGCCTTCCGTCGCGCACGGGCCCCGGCTACACAGCACAACTGAGGCAGGGCCCGGCTTCCCACAGCCCGCAGTGCGCGGCAGCAGGGCCCAGCCATCAAGGGGACTGGCAAGTGGGGCGCCTGGAAGACAGCCGCCGAGGGGACAGGAGGAGCGGTCGGTCCCTCCAGGCTGGGTCGGGCCTCCCGGGAGCGACACGCCTTTGAGTCACGGGGGACAGAGCGGTGAGACCTCGATCAGCAAAAACTGGGCCAGCGGGAACCAACACAGGCCTGGGTGCCTCTGGTCCACCGACAGCGGGTAGCTGAGAGGACGTGGGCTCCTGTACGTGGTGCCCTCGGCCTGTCCCCCCACTTCTCCGCTGGGAAGACGAGGGGTCCTGTGCTCGGGAGGGCAAGGCCACCATTTCACCTGCGGCCTCGAGTTTCTTCCTGGACTGTCAGGGCCAAGTGTTTCCAGTACAGGGACCTCCTCCCCGCCAGGGGGTCCACGCCCTGGGCAGGAGCGTTTATGACATTGGCCAGAACCTCTCGTTGGTGACCGGGCACCAGCCTTTGGTCAGGCCTGTCTCTGCACGAGGACACAGTCCCCGGCGTGGGCCGGGACGGAAGCGGCTGGCAGGGCAGGGAAAGGGACCTTAGCATCAGATGCAGACGGGCTCCTCCCAGGGAGACGTGGGCCACACCCCGTCCTGGGCACAGCACAGCCGTTCCGAATTCCCCACGCTGGTCGCAGAGGAAGGAAAACGCCGCGTTTGGTTTTAAGAGAGCTGCTAGGGAATCCAGCCGTTCTGGGTCATGGTTCCCCAGAGGTGGGCGCTGACGTCCCAAGAGAGAGGTCAAAGCTCCTGGGAGAAGTGGGGTCCCTTCCACTGTGGCCACCCCTTCCTAATTCTTGAGGGTTGAGCCACAACCCTGGAGCCTCCACCCTCCATCCACAGCCAGGGAGTGTGAGGTCCCCAGATCCGCACACCCCACAAAGCCGCCCAGCTCGCAGCCCCGTTCTATGGAACGTTTCTCTCAAAGTGGGGCACCACAACAGCGGGACGGCGTGTACCTCCTGACGAGGCCGGGTGGCCGGGGAGACCGCTGCCCTGCCCTGGCCCCACCGACACAGCCCAGGAGGCTGCGAGACTGATCCCTCCAGACAGGGTCGCCACGGGTACCTTTCACGTCTGCACAGCCAGCGGCCTGGGAAGGGCAGCCGCTGGCGAGACGCGTGCAGTGGTCACAACCGTGGCTGCCCCGGTCCAGCCACCTGGGCCGCAGAGCACGTGCCACCAGCCTCTCTGGGCCTCCCTCTCCACATCCGTCAAAGAGCCGCTTTTACGTGGGTAAAACCCTTTGCTCAGGACTGGGGACAACCAGACCCTCAACGGGCCACAGTGCAACCCGCGGGTCCTGCGGCGCATGGCCTCATCCAGCCCCCTGTGAGCCGCGAGAAAGAGGCGAGTCCGGGTTGTGAGGCCCCCCTGGCCCTGCAAGGCCCCCACAACCTACCCAGCCTGGGCGCCATCGTTCCTCCAGGCCCGTCCCCACCACCCTCACCCCAGACTCCCCGACCACGGGCCGGAGAGGTCACCCCACCTCGTTCCCAGCACAGCGCGGGGGCTCTGCCAGGAGGAAGCCCGGCGACAGATTCAACAATGTGCCTTCCATCAGCCGTCCTGTCATCCATCTGAACTTCCCCTCTCAAAAGAACATGTGGCGAGCCCCCTCCTCAGGAAAGACTGAGCGGGAAGCAGCTAGAAAGTGTCTAGAAGCTTCTAGAAGCCCCACCCTCTGTGCATCCCTCATTAGCAGAGACCTTAGCCCAAGGAGAAAACTCGCTCAGCCTCCCAGAAAAGGCAGCGATCTGTGTACATCGGGGCGGGGCGGGGGTGCTTGGGAGAAGGCGCTGGCAGCGGCAGGGTGGCCACGAGGCGCCAGGGCCAGAGCAGAGCACCCGGGCCAGCTCCACCCACCACGCCGTGCCAGGGTCCTCACCAGAACTGTCGTAGCCGTCGACAGAGAAGTGGTCTGGTCTCCGCTCTTCCGGGGGGTCGCACGTGATATGGGGCACGGTGAGCATCTTCTCCCCGGGACTCACCCCGTTATCCTTGTCCAGTTTGAACTTTTTTTTCTTGACCTAAAAAAGCAGATGACAAATTGGTGGGTCCTGGGCACCCTCGGCCAAGCCCTCCACTGACCTCACAGCGCCTGCGGCTGTGCGTGCCGCGCCGGGGGCCGGGAGCCCCGGCCGAGCTCCAGTGCCCTCCGCGGGACCAGGGCAGAGCTGCACGGGCCGCCTCGAGGGCTGGGCCTGGCTGCCGCGGGTGAGCGCACTGCCCGGCGGGGCAGCAGACAGGGAAGAAGGTAGGCGTGGACGGATGAGCGCGTGAGACGGATGGCGATGAGGGCCGTGGCCGGGGAGGACCAGAGCCCGTGAGGGGCACAGACCAGGTCCGGCAGGGCCCGTCTGAGGTGCCTGGCGGCAGTGAGGGAGTGGGCCGGGTGGAGCCCTGGGAGGGTGTCCCGGCAGAAGGCAGGCAGGCCCGAGGCTCAGTGGCAGCTGCGGGCAGGAAGGCCAGGTCTCCCCAGCGAGGGCGTGTGCACGGCCAGGAAGGGGCACCGCCAAGCTCAAGCCCGGCCTTTGCCCACTGCCCACGCTGTGCCACAAGACTCCTGCCCTGAGCCTGCCCAAACTCCCAGACCCTGTGACCCCCGACCCTCTTCCCTGAGCTGCGGCTCCGCTGCCCCATCCCGCGTCACCCGCGACACCCAGCAAGCAAAGCCCGACAGCAAGGCCCTTCAACAGCTTCCCTGCCAGCCCCAGCCAGAACCCAGCCTTGGGGCGGGCAGTCCTATGTGCCCCGACGCCTGGGGACACTGGCTGGCAGGGACCCAGCAGGGGCATACACCCCAGCGCCCGGACACAGAGCTGAAACACCAGGGGCAGAGGCGCCCCAAACCCCTAGCTGTAAGCACGGCCTCCTCAGCCTCTCCCCACTGACCAGGAGCCCTGCCCCGGTGTTTCCGCTGGGGGGGCAACTCACCGTGACAGACTTCTTGGGCTTGGGGCTGGGAGACAGCAGAGCGGGGCTCCGGGAAGGCTTCCGGACGTAGATCTTCCAGGTGGAGGAGTCGGGGTTCTCGGCCGCGTAGCACCTCCACGCGGTCTGGAATCGCAGGAGGGAGGCCGTCACCTGTCAGCTATCCGCTGGGGGCCTCTGCGGGAGCTGCGGCCCGAGTCCCATTCCCCAGGTCCAGCCTCCCCCGGTGGATGTGGTATGGTCGGAGGGAGCCCCAGGTTCACAGGACGCGCGGTTCAGGGGGCAGCGTCGGTGCTCGCGGGGCCTCCGCCGCGCTGCCCTGCGGCCGGCGGCCTGCCCGCTGCGAGCCCAGGGCAGGTTCATGGGCCTGACTCATGGTCTCCCTGAGAGGAGGCACTGTGGGGCCGTAAAACCAGGCCTGAGGCGGGAGCACAGCCCCGCCAGCCCCGCGCCCCCACTTCACTCGCGGCTGGTGCTTCCTTCCCACTCAGGTGTGACATGCAGGCACCGGACGTTTGGCCCTGGACGTGCCCCCGAGGAGCGAGGCGGCGACCCTGGCTGAGCCGTGGCCCCGACAGCCACCCGCCCCTCACCGGGCCCCGCCTAAGCAGAGCGCTCAGGACGCCGAGGCCTGCAGGGGGCCCAGACCTCCCCCGGGGGGCACGTAGCCACTGTGCCAGGCAGAGGGCCGTGTCCACAGCCGGGTGCTGGCCCACCCCACCTGCCAACACCCACGTGTAGGCCCCTCACCCGCCACTCCTCAGGGCAGCCCCGGCCCCATAGCGGCCAGCAGCAAAGGCCCACAGGGACACGGTCTTCAGACGGTTCTTACACTTAAGTGAGTTTTTGTTTACATCGAAGGCAACCCAGTTCTCTGGTGTGCCCTGAGAGCCCGGTGACCACCAGAGCCCAGCATCTCGGGGCTCAGGGCTACCAGCTCGCACCGTCTGCAGAAACTTCCTTCCCTGGTTGCCCTGTGGGCCCAGAGGGTGGCCCGTGCCGTCCACTGCTGGTCCTTGCCCAGGGGCACCAGGCCTGTCTCACCTGGAGGACAGCCACCAGGGGCCCTAGACCTCCACCCTCCCTGGCTTAGCCCTGCAGCAAGCAGGGGCAGTTGGGAGAGTGGCGGGACCCCCAAGGCTGGCCCGGGCAAGGGAGCCTCAGAGCCCATCGTGTCTAATCGTGGAGCTGCCACAGTCACGCCTGGTCCCCAGCCCATGGGGCGCGACCCTCGGCAGGGCCGCTGTGGAGGGAGCCAGGCTCCCAGGGCCCTGTGCCTGCCCCGTTGCCCCAGAGGCGGATGCCCGCGAGCAAAGCACCCCCCAGGCCGGCTGGGTCAGCGCAAGGGCAAGACTTTCCAACTAACGCTGGCTTCGTTCCCCCAGGTGGACACGCGGGTTGGACACAACGGCGATGACAGCGACCACGGCAACCAGGGCCACGCAGGCACCGCACCTGAATGAGCGACGCCGCCGCCGGGATCTGCCGATTGAAGTGCTTCTGCCTCTGTTTCTGCTGGACCTTCAGGGCGAAGCCGGAGCCGAGAATCCCCTGGGAAGGAAGGCAGCGGAGGCTCAGGTCCACACGGGCCACCGCTGGCCAGCACCCAGCTCTCAGGACGCGGTGCCAGGTCACCATCGAGGGAAGGCCAGGCCTGGTCCGGGCTGGAGGCCACGCAAGCGAGGCCGGCACCTGTGACCCCGCCTGGCCTGCCCGGGCCGGCACGGAGACAGAGCTCACACCCCAGGGCTCGTCCAGCGAGGGGCCCGGCCCCCGGAGGGACCAGAGCCTCCCCCACCCGTTCCCTGAGACTGGGGGTGGCGGGAGGGCTGGCCTCTCCGCACACGCCCAGGAACGGGACGGCAGCCTCAGCCAGGACAGCCAGTGGGGCACAGAGGACGCACACGGCAGCTGCGAGCTCCCTGTCGGTGCAGGGCATCCAGCTGCACACACGCACGTGGGTGCCACGTTCACACATGTACGTGTGCCTGTGACATGCACACAGGCATGCATACTAATACCTACACACGGGTGCATAGGCATATACACGCAACATGGACATACGGTAGACGGGCACACCTGTGACACCTGCACACATGAACACATACACGTGCACGTGTACATGCATGTTTAACATACATGTGCACACACGACACATATATGAATATGCATACAGACACATGCACAAATACACATACACCGTATGTACACATGTGTGACATACAGTGCATGTATATACATGATACATACACATACCATCCACACACATGACACACATGCGTGTACACACACATCACACGTACACATTTCTGCGAAGGATGTGGAACGAAGCCCCTCCCAGCCACGGTGAGGGCCACTGCTCCCCCTCTGGGCACAGGTCCTGCGCTGCAGTGACGCGGAGCTCCCCTTCCGCAGGCCCACGCCCCACACTGGCCACGACGGACCCCAGAGGGCTGGGAGCAGGGGCCGTGCCCGGGCCCCCAGCAGGCGAGCTGGAAGGAGGGACCATCCTGGCTCTGAACAAGCCGGCTCTGCGGGAGGGTCTGCTCAGGGGGCCGCGCGGAGCAGCGAGGCAGCCCCGCAGCACCTACCGCCGGCAGCGCGAAGAAGGAGATGGCGAAGACGGAGAAGCAGGAGGCGATCGTCTTCCCGACCCACGTCTGGGGCACTTTGTCCCCGTAGCCAATGGTGGTGACTGTGACCTGCAGGAGGGGACAGTGGTGAGCAGCGGACAGGCCCAGAACAGCGGGAGGGCCACCGGCTGGCCGAACCCACCCTCAATGAGCAGAGACGCCTGGAGACCCCGGCCACCAAGGCACAAACTGTGCGGCCCAGTGAAGCCCCGGGAACCCCATGGCAGGGCGGCGCAGGTCACCCCGACCCTCGGTGCTACATGTGGCACATAGCCCGCCAGGCACACACACACAGGCCCGGGCACCCACCCCACAGAAGGCCGGGCATGGTGGCCAAGCAACCCCGGCCCCGTCACCTGCCCATCCCCGGAGGCACGGCCCAGGCCCTGATGCTGCTGGGGCCACCCGGGAGGTCCCACTGGGCCGGCCACTGGTCGACAAGGAGCTGCGCCTCGGATGGCGTGCCACGTCCTGACACCACCCCGGGGCACCAGACGGTTCATCTTTCCTCTTTTCTGAGAGCACGAGACGAAGCTCGAGCCTTCTCCTCGGCCGAGAGCCGCCCGCCCAGGCACGTGCTGGGACAGTGGCAGTGCGGAGCTGTCACCACCTCCTGCTGGCAGCTGAAGCTTGCTCCCTGGGGCCTCAGGGCCGGCCCCAAAACGACAACCTGCAGGACTGGAGCGCACCATGGCTGGGGCTAGGTCTGCTGTGGCCCCATGGTGCAGGCCGTGTAGCTGCCTGGAGGACCCTGCGGAGCTCGCTGTGAGCCTGGCGAGGGTAGCCGGGTGCCCCCGAGACACAGCTTATCCCGTGGACACGTGGACTCACGCCTGGCACGCCGGGACGGCAGACACGGTGGCCCAGGCTGTCCCTGCATCTGTGAGAGGTCTCTGCAGCCCTGTTCTGGGCACCCTACTGGGGACAGCCTGGCATTTACCCCTGTGGGGCCTCCAATCGAGGCCACGTGACAACCAGCTCGGCCCTCGCAGGCCCAGGGAGGCTTCCCACTGGGAGCAGCGCGGAGGCCCGTCAATCCCTGCCCGCGGCCAGCGCAGACAGTCGGCAGGGCCCAGGAGGCCCTCCTAACCGATTCGCCCAAAGGCAAGGACGACGGCGGCCACCCCAGCCTCCCGGGGCCGTGCAGTGCTGAGCTGCCCTGTGCTTTCCACCCGCCGCCGGGGAGGAGGGACGCAGGGAGGGGAGAAGCCCGGGGGCCACGGCTGGACAGGGACGCACACGCGTGGAGAGAGATACAGAGCCACGCACGGCACATGCGACTGCTCAGAGCTGCTGAGCAGCGGGAATGACCACGTTGCGTGGCACTGGATTATATCGACGCGCACGCTAACGCTTTGGGAAGCGACGTCTGAATCTCAAGGGAACCAGGCGGCGTGGCAGGATGGGCTCTGCTGAGACCCGCCGCCTCCAGGACCCGCCCGGGCCCGGCTGTGCTTCTGCGGAGGCTGCTCTCAAGCCGTCTCCCTCGCCGCCTGCACGCGCCTTTCCTGCGGCGTCGCCGTCCCCGGGACACGAGCGCCCCACACGCAGGCGTGGTGCACGCAGGAAGTGCGCACTGCCAGGCCCTTTGAGCACACACCCGCTACCACGCTCGGGCAGAGACCCAAACACACACACACACACACACAAACACGCAACTCAACATGCCAAGGCCACAGGAAGGCACGCGTGCATCTGCATCACGCTCACACAACACAGAAAGGTCACGTACAATGGGTGCTGGAATACACGTCTGAGCCTGACGGTCTCAGAGCACACTCGGGCCCAGACACCTTGAGAACACGCACACGCACACACACGCCCCCGGAACACAGCCCAGGTACCCTCAGTGTAAAGCCAGGCCATGCCAGGGCCACGCCAGGGCCACGGGCAGGGCTGACAGTGGGCTGGCGGACGAGGGGGCCCTGGAGCCCCCCCTTGGCACGGTGTCCTCCCCAGGGCCCTGCACCCACATGCAAGTGCTGGGCAGACATGGGGTTGTGACGTAGGGGGGCCCCTGGGACCCTGTGCCTGGCCTGCCTTGGGGGGTGACCGTCACCTGGCAGCATCACAGCCCAGAGGGGTTTGGGGGAGGTTCCCGGTGCATTCACGTGTCCACCTGCCCATCACACGAATGTTCTCTGAGCCCACAGCAAGCCAGAGGGAGCGCACAAAGGTGGCCCGGAAGGGGCTGAGCAGAGCTGGGACCTGGCCTCGCGCTCACAGGGCTCCCGCGGCCCAGAGGGCCGAGAGGAAACACAGTCCAGCCTCTGGCTCAGTCCTCTCAGGAGGACAGTCACTCCCCACTCATCTGGGCGTCCCTCTGCCAGCGCCCGGTCAGGGAGGACACGACCGGGCCCAGGAGAGAAGGGGACAGAGGGGCCACGCCCTGGGGCAGGAGCCCATCCCGGCTCAAGGCAAGCGTGGCCGACAGCACCGCCACGCGCACTCCCGCCAGCGCGAGGAAGCGCGTGTCGCCGTCCAGACAGAGGAAGGTGCGGGAACCCAGCTGTCCTGGGAGCCAGACTTCCCAGAAACTTGCAGAAATGTACGTTCTTCTTTCAGTATTTTTTTTGTTTTGTTTTGGAAAATGTAACTTTTCATAAAATTATTTTACTTATGTAAACATATGAGCCTATTACTTTAATAAACATGGAATCATTTAAAGAATTTCTCAGTTTTATTAGATGTCGAGTATGTGACCCACACAAACACAAGCCCCTGTCGAGCAGCTAACTTGCCCCAGCCTGCTGGCCCCCTCCCCACGGAGATGGCCGCCAGGGACAGACAGTGCCACAAGCCAGGTCGCCAAAGGCTCGGGTGAGGCCGTAGCATGAGGAGCGAATGGCGGGGGTGCCACCTTGGGCGTCCAGCACCAGGGCACCTGCTGCCTCCGCCAGCCACACGACTCGTGCTGGCGCAGCGCCTGACACCACTTAACGATATTAAATTATTTTAGAATATTTAAAAATGATTAATTTTTAAATAAAGGTATCATATTTTAACTTTTCTAAGAAATCTAAATTAAAGCAAAAAGTCCATAACGAAAGGGGAAGGAGGGGCTGAGGCCACCTCTCCAGACACGACTGCTCAAGCCGGGGTGTCGTGGCCAGGTCGGGGCCCACGCCTGCTCTGGGCGGTCAGCGGAAGCCGGCACAGGCGGGAGGAAGTCTGGCTCCAAGGAGTGGCCTGGGGCGGGCGCCCCGCTGCGGAGGGCACACGCGGAGGCTCTGGGACCTCCCGCCTCCCTCGGACCCCGCCACAGACCCTCCTCGTCAAGTTAACGACCGCCCTTCTGAGGAACCGGCCCCTCCCCACAGTGCTTCTTGTTTTCCCCGAATCACGGACACAAGCAGCTCGGGACGGGCCGTTTCACGGTCGCTGTGCTGGGAACGTGCCGGCGGCCGCCGTCTAGAACGCAGATCTGCAGGTCTCCTGGGCCAACGAACGGAGAGACACGGACCACCGTGGTGCTTTGCCAGGGCGCAGGCCGCATGGGGGCACTCGTGCCCGGGACAGGAACTGTGGGGTGACCTGGGGTCCACACCGTCCTGGTGGGGCGATTCCACCCGCCTGTGCGTCACTGTCAGGGCTCCCGAGGGCAGGGCCAGCTGGGAGAGGGGAAGCCGTGGACAGAGGGAGGTGGCCGGGCGGGGGCAGGACTGTCTCCAGGGCAGCCACGGCAGGCTCGGCCTCCCTGGGGCTCCGCCGGGCCAGGCACTCAGGTTCCGAAGGGGACACCCAGTGTTGGCCCCGCACGGGGCTGCCCAGGAGCCCACGGCCTGGCTCATGGGAGGAGCCACGCGGGGACCGGTGCTGCCACGTGGGCGCCGAGGGGAGCAGTCGGCAGGCTCGCGCTCTCTGGGCAAAGACGAAAGCAAACACACACCCCAAAATAAACCTGCCTCCTTTCAGCGACGAAAAGTCAATAAACGAACACGAATGCACAGGGGCCTCGGTCTTGTCACACGAATTTATCTCACAAACCCTGGAGCCCCGGGGCCTGGCAGGTCCCGCGTCCTTGCCCTGGGGTGGCGCAGGCCGCCGCATCCCGGCTGGGTGAGGACGCATGATGCTGCGCTGAGGGGGAGGGGGAGGGGCTGTGCCCGGCGCCGTCACGAGGCCACCGCGTGAGTCAGTGCCCCTCGGTCCCCTCTTCCCAAGCAAAACCGGGAGCCCCACACGGAGGCGGCCGGCGAGGCTGTGCGCCTCGGGTGCCACACGGGGCACGTCCACCCGGCAGCGTCGCTGGGCTCAAGGCCCCACGTGCTGGTGGCCCAAGTGGCTGCATCCTGAGGACTCAGCTCAGATGTCACCTCCTCAGGGGACACGCCACGGGGCCACCCACACAGCACCCCGTGCCAGCCACAGCGCAGAGAGCGAGACCAGGGCTGCCTGGAGCCCGGGCGGTGCCCAGTGCGGAGTGGACCCCACACTCTGGGCCCGGACAGGGGACTGGCAAACGGTACGGCCCAGCCTCCCCAGGAGGCCCCAGCGCTGAGGGAAGTCTCCGTGGCAAGAGGACCAGTTGCTGCCTCTGGGATCGTGGTCCCCACAGAGCCCTCCCAGCAAGCCCCACGTCAGCCCAGGAGGCAGGCTGCCATCTGCGTGCTCAGCAGATAGGGAAACCGAGGCACAGAATGACGCTTTGCTTTGCCCCAGTCTCAAGGCCTGTTCACCGGTGCCATGGGACTTGCCCCAGAAAACCGACCGTAGCCTCCCCACCCACCCTACCGCCTGGGGAGCCAGACCAGGTCTGCCGCCAGCCACCAGCTGTGCCCAGGCCCTGTGGGTCCCCGGAGTCCAGGACTGAGAAGGCTGGACAGGCCGAAGCCGCACACCCCGCGAAGGCACGCCCGGGGAGTGGCAGGGCCCACCCCAGGACAAGCAGGGCCGACAACTGTGACCGGACCATAGCAGCCCCAAACCTGTTAGTGTGAAGTAGCTTCCGTAGGCCATCAACTGGCATTTGGCTTTGGGGAATGCCAAGAGACCCACGGCTGGCAATGTCCTTCCAAGATTTATGACCAGCCTTTACGACCAGCCTTACGTGTCCTGGCTGGGCGCCCGGCACCCCAGGCTCTCTGCGTGTTCACTGACTGAACGCCAGCGATCCACAGAGGTAGGTGTGTTATCTCACCCGCACGTCACAGATGCCCAGAGAGGTGGGGTAACCTGCCCGGGCACAGGCTGGTCAGTGGTCGGGGTGGGAGGTCCGGCCCCCGTCACCCCACCTCTTCCTGTTTCAGCGTTTCACGATGCAACTTTCTTTTCCCTTCTGCTGAAGAGTAGCTGGAAAGCTCTGTCCAAGTCTCTGAGCCCTGAGACTCCCAAGGGCTCACCCTCTACCCCAGGAGGAAATTAATCTCTTATGCCACCCTCCCTGGGCCTGCCACGTCCACACAGAATTCCCACAGTCCCTGGCCCGGGGTCAGTCGGTACAGGATGACAGACCTGCCTTGTGGGCTCCTACTCATCCTATAAAACCTGGCTGTAAAGTCCCTCCTTAGGGAGTGCTCTCTGGCTGGGCTCCTGCAGACCCTGTTCGCAGCTGCGCAGCAACCCCACTCACAGGAAGGACCCAGGTCTAGGTGGGGTCTGCGTGCTGGGGTAGGGGTGGGGGCCTCGCCCTGCTTCCCCTGGCCCATGGGTCTTCCCCAGCCTAAAGGGAGTCCTGACACTAGCTCTTCCCGCCGGACAGACACACAGGGCTCGCATGTGACTGTCTGGGGGGCCCCTGCCTCTCCCAGCCCGCGCCCATCCCCCATCCCTGCGAGCAGGCCGGGCCAGGATGCAGGACCCCGGGAGGCAGGACCTGTCTGAGCCTCCAGGTGAGGAGCGAGCGAATAGCGAGCCGTCAGACTCTATTTTAAAAGGTGGCTGAGACGTAGGGATGGGATTCCAGCTTTTTACTCTCAATTCTAAATTTAGACGCAGGGGCAGGGGGGTAAACAGAGCCCAGCAGCCTCCTGTGTGCAAAGACCCCCGGGCCCTGAACAGAGGAGCCCGTGTCTGCAAAAACTGCTTTTCCTCTGCTCAAACTTGAACACAAACAAACGCATTTTGTTCCAAGGGCAAAGAAAAAAGTCTTAAATCCTCCCCAAATGCCTCGGCGGCCAGGCGCGGGCGCCACGCTCAGGGGGTGAAGGAGGGCTCACATCCGAGCTGGCGTCTCCACCCTGGGGAGGGGAACGGGAGGGGTCGCCCAGCCACCAAGCCAGCACCTTCACCTGACAGCTGTGGAAACTGAGGCCCAGCAAGTCCTGGGACAACCTGCGCCGGATGCGTCCCCCTCAATTCATGCCCCCCGGGCCCCTTGGAACGTGATCTTATCTGGAAATAGGGTCTTCAAAGATGTCATTAAGGATCTCGAGATGCAATCGTCCCAGCCCATCTGGGGGGGCCCTAAATCCAATGACAAGCGTCCCTGTGGGAGAGGAGAGAGGCACACGCTGAAGGGATGAAGTGGCCGTAAGCGCAGGGACACCGGGGCCACCAGAGCTGGAAGGGGCAAAGAGAGGTTCTCCCCGAGCCCTCGGAGGGAGCGTGGCCCCGCCGACACCTCGATTTCGGACTTCCGGCCTCCAGACGAAATCACTTTCCTTGGTTTCAGGCCAACCAGTTTGAGGGGCTGTGTTGTGGCAGCTCCAGCCCTGTTTTAGGGTACGTCTGAGGAGTGAGGGGTCCAGAGTGCCGGCGAGGCCTGGGACAGACACGGCACGGAGATCGGAGCGGCCTGGCCACCAGGAAGCCACCCCGCCCGGAGGCGGGCCTCGGCCGAGACGTGGCTCTCCGTGGCTCTCCCACCCGTGTCTGTCCGCGTGGGCCAGGCGGGGGTGAGGGAGGCCGGGACAAAGGAAACCGAGAGGAAACGACTGCTCAGGGTGCAGCTGCAAACTGGCAACTGGCTTGGAAGCCCCATCTGGACCGCCCCGTCTCGCGTTTCTCAAGTTCTGTTTGTCCGCAGAGCGCCAGGAACTCAGCCCATAACTCAAGCCGCAGGAGCTGCTCCCCCCAGACAGCTGCAGGGGCAGCTGAATGGGAGCCGTTTGCCCCCCGAGCCCCAGGCGGGGGGCGGAGCGGGGGGAGCCAGGGCGGCCAGGGGCGCGGGGCCCGGCGGGAACAATGGCCGGCCCAGGGCACACGGTGGCCGAGGCGCGGACTGCAGCTGACAGCGCGGGCCGGGGCACCGGTGCCAAGCCGGGCACAAAGGGGCCGTGTTCCCGGCCAGCGGGCGGATGTTTGCACAGGTGTGGGAGTGGAAGCACGGCTCTGCCACGGGCGGGGGCTGGGGAGTAGCCTCTGCTGCCCGCAGCTCCAGCGGGCAGCCAGGAAGGCGGGCAGGGCGGCACGGAGGCTGGGCACCGCCTATGGGCCTGCGCGGGCCGTCACCCACTCACTTCTGCTGTGCTGTGGCCCTCACCTCCCCACCCTCCCGGGGGTCCTCCCGGACCCGGGCAGCCTGTGCCCCACGCGGGCCTACCCTGCCCGCTCCCTGCAGGCGAGCGCCTTGCCTCCCCGACCTGCTCAGGCCTGCCACGCCGGGGCCTTTGGGGACACGGGACACGGGCCCCAGGAGGGCAGGCAGAGGCCGAAACCAGGGCCTGCCTCAACCTGGGAGCTGTGTCAGCACATCCTTGCCTTCCCTGAGCAGCCTGGCATGTTGGAAGCTTCCAGAAAACATGCTGACTTGGCCCGTGTCAGAAACCCCCTCCAGGCGCCGGCCCTCCCTGGGGCACAGGAATCGCAGGGCACAGCCCGCCCCACCCAACGCACTCGGACGGGTTCCCTTCGGTGGCCCTTCCTCTCTGGAGGGGCCTCAGGGACAGACAGGCCAGGGCCTGACACGGCTGCCACGTGTTCACCAGAGCTGTCCTGCCCACTCCCGGGCCCTGGCTCCCCCCATCGTCGGCTGCCCCTCTCTTCTCTCCTCAGCCCCAGCCCCGCGGCTGCTACCTCCGTCCTCGGGGGGCCTGAGGGGCCTGGAGCTGAGCAGAGGAGCAGACTCGGGGCAGCGCGTGGGGCAGAGCAGGGGCAGAGCAGGGGCAGCGCCGTCCCTGCCCGGATCCAGGCCCAGCAGCTCACCTGCCCCTGCAGCCGCGGACACAGGGGTGGGCTAGGCACGGACGGACTTGTCCCCCCGGCCCCGCCCTCCAGCCTGGAGCCAGCCGCTCCTGCTGGGGTCCGTGTGTTCCCTGTGGAAACGACCCTAAGGTTTTGCATAATATACGAAAGCTGATTTTCTCTGGAGGATTTGAAGGCCGTGCGGGCAGCAACCAATTCCTTCAGGGACGCTGGCGGCCCAGCCTCCCGCCTGAAAATGTGAGGCCGGCATCCTCTAAGCCCCAGGAAATGAGTCCCAGGCCGGAGCCCCAGCGACACAGCACTCGGGCTGCCCCGGGTGGCTGGAGCCCATCTCTGCACCGGCGGCCTCCGGGCCCGGGGCTGCGCTTTCCCAGGCGTGGCCACACCTGCGCTGCCGCCCGGGCCAGCTGCAGAGCTCACAGGCCCACGTCCACGGGAACAGACCCCTTTCCCTCCCGAGGCCTCTCCACCCGCCACGGTGCTTTCTGTTTGCTATTTCCAGTCCCGCTCCCAGGCACAGGGCCAGGGAAGACCCTCGGACACACAGGGCACGCACCTGACCCCCCACCCCACACCTGCACCACCCAGGATGGGCGGAGGAGGGACAGGCAGCCCAGGACCCAGCCCGGGGGACGGCAGGGACCACAGCCACACAGGAGCCAAGACACTAAGCCCCCCACCCCACATTTGAAGCACAAGTTCAAAGAAGAAAGCTTTAGAAACGTCGAAATGGTCGACATCAAAACGGTGCCTCCAGAGCAGCTGGCGTGGGGCGTGGGGCCTGCCGTGGCTTTGGGAACAGACACGTGGGCAAAGGGGGTGAGCACCCAGGCAGGAGCCCTACCAACGAGGCATCGGATCTCAAGAAGCCTGCGCCCCGCACCCTGCCCCCTCTGCCCGGGCCCACGTGGCCTCAACCTAGGACCTCCCCCGCCCCCGCGGGCCCCGAACCGCCCCGCCTCCCACGCAGGTGGCCTCAACCTAGGACCTCCCCCGCCCCCGCGGGCCCCGACTTACCACCCCCCACCACAGCGCATCTGCGTAGCTGCCAAACTCGACGCGGCCTGACTCGTTCACTGCGTCCTTTTCGGCCAGGTACACGAAGTACGAGGAGAAGATGAGGCCCAGAAAGCCGATGTACAGGGTGGTCACCAGCTCCTAGGCCAGCAAGTGGACACCCGTCAGCCTAGCCTCCCGCGCAGACGTCTCGCCAACGCCACGGCCGAGAGGGAACGACGCCTACCAGACGGCTCCCGCCGGCCCGAGCACGTCTCACGCGTGGACAGCAGACCTCAAAACCACCCACCGCCCACAAGCCCTGCCCGGTGGGAGGCTCGGCCCTGTGACCGCCCGGCTCGCTCCCCAAAATGGGGCAGAACCCAGAGCTGACAGGGACCAGCAGAGCCTCAGTGGGGTGCAGCCCCCGCTCCTTGGAGCCAGGGACCTCACAGCCTGTGCCTGCCTTGGCCCCGGGAAAGGGTGTCAGTGGCCTCGTCTGCCCTGGGTTTTTCTCGACCTGCCTGGTTTTGGGTTTCTGAGTCTCTTGGATATTTTTTCTCCTGTATGTTTCTGTCTTTTCATCTGCCCCACAGTTCTTTGTCCCCAGCTCGAAGGGAGGTGGGCGTGTCATCAGCGTGGCAGGCCGGGATAATGGCCCCGTGGGTGTGGGGGCAGTGTCCCCCCTGGACTCGGGCTGGGCGCCTGCTCTGGGATCCCAGGCCCCGTGCACGTGCCCCGGCGCCCGGTCCTCACGTTGGGGCAGAGCCACCCTGGTGCAGCCACACTGCGCTGTGCCCCCCACGCCCATCTGGACCACACACCTGGCGGTGGATGAAGACCACGGAGCCCAGGAGCCTCCAGGTGCCTCCCTGGCGGTCCACGTGCAGCATCCGGAGGATCTGGAGGAAGCGGATGCCCCTGGGAGGGAGACAGCGCGGGGCTGGGAGGGGCACGCTGGTCTCAGGCGTCCCTGCTGGGGCCTGGAGACCGCAGGTGGGGTGAGCGTCCCGGCCCGGCCGGGCTCCCACGCCAGGAGGGGGGACTCTGCACATCTACTGGGACGGGACCGTGTCACCTCTCAACTCCCCCTTGAGCACAGCCCCTCGCAGCCTGGCTCTGAATCTGCCGCTGACCACGGGGTCAGGGCTGGGGCCACGCACCTCCACATCCCTCGGTCCCCAGACCGCCTTCTGAGGGGGCCTGGGGTCACCCAGTTTCAGAGGAGCAGGCTGTGCCCCAAAATGGTCAGGTTACCGCCCAGGTCACAGAAGCCAGGAAGTGCTGGGCCGGGGCCCGCAGCCACCCCAGCACACTGCTCCCTGTCCCTGGGAGAAGCGGGGACCAAGGAGGGTGAGCACGTCAGAGCCAGGCGGTCGGGGTGTGAGACCACCGCAGCTTGGAGAGGGTGCTGGTGGCGGGCCGGCCCCCTCCTGCCGCGGCGGCAGGCAGCACGGCGGGGCAGCTCGCAGCGCAGACACACCTGATGGCCGACGTGGCGAACACCTGCCCTTTGGAGCCCACGCAGAGGACCACCATGGAGGCCACGACCACGATGAGGTCTGCAGGACATGGGAGGGAGCAGCTTGTCACAGCCGTCACCAGCCACACCCTCCGCCCGCATCTGGGGGAAGGGCAGGTCAGGGCAGAGTGCAATGACAAGGACACGACACACCTCGGGTGGGGGTCGGACAGACCCAGCCTTCCCTCCTGGCCACGTGGAACCCCCACCCCCACTCCAGCTCGGGCCAGGCCTCGTGCTGGGCCCTGCGAGCAGTCAGACAGGACGGAACCTCAGGCCTGGGCCACGGTTCTCAGGCTGCTGTGGCCGGCCATCGAGCCACGCTGAGCGAGGAGGGTCCCGGGAAGCTGTGAGGGACCCCGATCCCATGAGCAGCGTCTCTGTGCAGAGGTGGCCCGGGGGCCCTGCGCCTTCACAGGAGGTCAGAGTAGCTGGGGTCTCCCGGGGGCCTCCGCCACGTGGTGGCCGTGACGTGGGTCCTTCCCAGTCTGGACACCCGGGGCTGAGCCTCCGCGGGGGGGCGGGGGCGCGACTCACCGATGATGGAGATGGGCTTCCGGGCGAAGCGCAGCCGCCCCCAGATGCCCACGTACTTGCTGCGGCAGCCGGCGGACCAGAGGCGGACCACGTACTCCGTCCCGAAGAACGCCACCAGGACGATCTCCTGCAGGGAGAGAGGGAGGCAGGGGCACTTCACGCAGGGCTCTGCCGTACCCAGCGCCGGGCCTGTGACCTGCAGGACACCGGGAGCCTCTGCTGAGGGAACCCCACGGACAGCAGGCCCCGGTCCCAGCGACCACCGGAGCAGGAACCCTGGGCACCCCCAGTGAGAAGCGCCTTCCCACCAGCCCCGTGTCTGGGCCTGGCGCAGCCACCCCACCCTCGTGGGGACCCAGCACAGCCAGCCCCACCACACCCCGATGCCTGGCAGACCCGCCCAGCTGCCCCTCGACTCCACCGAGCCCGGAGGGAGGAGGCTCCCAGCGGAGTGAATCCCACCCCCGGGGTGCTTTGGGAGCCTGAGCCTCGGTTTCCTCAGCTGTGCAACATGGATGGCGACAGTCCCTTCTTGGTGGGCTGAGGTGGGGTTTATGGCCACGATCAGTATTTAACGTGACACCTGTGAGCGTGGGGGTCCCCGCGGGCCTGTATGCCCAGCCTCCAGCCAGCCCCGGCACGCAGAGCCCCCCAGGGAAGGCGAAGCCATGAAGCGTCCCCCCTCAGGCAGGACCACCCGTGGCCCTGATGGGGAGCCATCCCCAGAGGCTCTGCCCGGCTCTGAGCCGACCGACTGCCCAGCAGGCTGGTTCTCGTTTTGATGGACGTCTTAAAATCACTTAACCTAAGCAGGTGGGAGCGCCGGTTGTGTCTGTGCCCTAACATAGTAACGATTAGGGTCGCTCTCCACGGCTGCGCCCCACGTGACCCCGGCCTGACACTCGGGGAGAACCCGTGAGGGAGCCTGCGTCCAGATGCAGGGCGTCCCCTCTGGGGACACGTAGGAGTCACTCAGAACAACGCTGACCCCCAAGTCCCGCCTGCCGGGGAAGGGCCCGGTCAATTAGCATGGCGCGGCCGGCAGGCTGGGGGTGGGGGGCAGAGGAAAACAGCCATTTCACCATCTCCAGGCCGGAGACAGCGGGACCGAATGTTTGCTCAGAGATAAAATTATCTCCACCGCGATCGGCCTCGCGAGCTCTCTGGGGCTGGGCGGGCGCCCAGGCCAAGGCCGTAGCGGGACCCCAGGGCTCGCGCTCAGGCAGCGATGGAGAGGAGGGCCATTGCCCCCGATTCAGGGGACAGCACCTCAAGGCCAGCGCCATCCACAGAATGGCAGGGCGCCTCCCCGTGGCTCTGGGTGGGTAGGCCGGCCCAGGCCTCGCAGTGCAGACCTGGTGGGTGGTGCCCTAGCTGTCCTCCAGGCCCAGGCCCAGCTGCCTTTGCAGACCAGGCCCTGTGCACAGCCCAAAGTTGAACTAAAGGGGCCACAAGCTCCTCCCCAGAACCTGCAAACATCCGTCCCTTCACAGGCCCCTTCCCTGCTCAAGCAACTGCCATGGCTCCCACCGTCCACACCACACGGTCAGGGTCTGGGACTGCCACCCCTTCCAGAGACTCACAGACCATTCCCCCAAGAGCCTCCCACTGGCCCCAGGTGCCCCCATGCCCTGGGGGCTCCCCTGCCCACTGCCCGCCTCCAAAGACCCCTCCCCTTCTCAGGCCAGCTCTGCACCCTCACCCCCTGTGGGAGCCCTGCCCACCACACCTGCAGACGCAGGGTCAGCCTGTTCCAGAGGCCTTCCCTCAGGGACACCCTGCATCATCCAGCCCCTCAAAGGGCCTCTCGGCAAGACCCACGTGGTACCGAGCTGGGGCCAAGGATGCAACGCCACGGACGTTGATGGAGTGTGGTCGTGATCTCTGCCCCGAGATATGAGAAGGGCCGTCCTTGGGCCGAGGAACTGAGGATCTGCACTGAGACCACAGTCAGACCAAAGGGACAAAGAGGCCCCTTCTGCCCAGCTGCTGTCCTTCAGACCAAAGCAAGGCCACTTCCTGAGTGCAGATGGCTTCATGGACGAGGGGCCTCTGAGCTGGTGCAGACCCACACAGCCGCTGGCCGACCCTGCGAGGCAGGCCCGCGATCACGGCCCCCCCAGGTTCTGCCGAGGAGGGGGAGGCTGGGAGAGGCCAAATCGACCACCCAAGCCCCACAGCTTGGGGAAGGGGGGGAAAAAGCAGGAAAAAAGTGCAGGAAAAAAGTGCAGGCGTCCTCAGGTTGGGAGTGGACGCTGGTGAGCGAGGCCAGTGCCCGCCGTGGAGGCTGGCCACTCGCGCACAGGCATGGCCTGGGGTGCAGCGGATAGCGGGGCTCTGGGACTGGCCCTGTCACAGCAGGGAGCGTGGGCGCAGGCCAGAGGCAGGAGGGCCTCAGCGAAGGAAGCCCAGACATGAGATGAGGACGACCAAGAGCTGCCAGTGCCGCCGGCCTGGCCCAGGGTGCGACAGGGCAGCGGGTGGGGGGGTCGCGGGTCCCTGGGGACAAGTTGGGAAGACAGGCCTGGGCCACAGAGTTCTCAGCACCACTTGGTCACCTCGTGGACAGCCAGGCAACCAGAGGAAGCTGGAGTCAGGTCTGGCTGGAGGGTGTTGGCCGTGGCAGCCACATGGGTACGAGATGTCCCCCAGGAGGACGCAGCACTAGAGCACCCTCCTTCCTCCAGACCAGGAAGGAGCCCGAGAGGACGCCCAGTGCTCAGGAAGGCGGCCACGCCCCGCCAGGTCTGCCCCTCCCAAGCCACCTTCACAGCACGATGGGAAAGATGCAGGGAAAGGGGACAAACACCACGTGGCCTTGGCCCACGCAGCCACTCCTCCCCGCGGGACCCACACGGGGGACTGCGCGCTTTTCTAACAAGGCCCGGGAGCCCGGATGAGACAGGCCTTGGGTCAGTCTCCTGCCCACGTGCCAGCCGCCCCACCCCACGCCCGGCTCTGCTCTGCCACGAGCGTGGACCCAGATCGACTCCGGGCTCCTCCTATCCCCCACCTGGTGGGGGTTAGGAGTTGGCTGTCGGTGGTATTCTTTGCGTGATTTAAAATGACTTTAGAAAACTAAGTTTCTAACAACTTTAAAAAAACAGGCAAAGGACTTGAATAGATGTTTCTGTAAAGAAGATACACAAATGGCCAACAAGCACACGAGAGGCTTAACGTCACTGATCCCTAGGAAAACGCAGATCAAGACCACAGTGAGATGCCACCTCCCTGCCCCCCAGGACGGCCACGAAACGTAAATTAGTAAACAATACGCACCCTCGAGGGCTTGCGCGCTGGGGGAGGAGGGAGAGCGGCGCGGCAGCTCCTCAAAACATCACACGTGGGATCGCCATCCGCTCAGTTTTGCCGTGAACCTCAAACTGCTCTATGAACAGTCTATGGAAAAATATACTCCAGGAAAAAAGAGAATTACTGCACGACCCAGCAATTCCACTTCTGAGTCCATCCCCAGAGAACTGAAAGCCGGGTGCAGAGAGCTCCCTGTCCCCGTGTCCACGGCAGCACTGCTCACGGCCGCCACAGGTGGAAGCCACGCAGGTGTCCACGGACAGGGAACGAATGAGCAAAACGCGGTCAGCCCACGTGGCGGGATGTCATTCAGGAAGAGGAATAACGCACTGACGTGTGCCGCGCGGATGGACCCTGAGGACACGGCGCTGCGTGATGGGCCGGACACAGAAGGACAAACGCCGTGTGACCCCACTCGCGGGAGGCCCAGAGTCGTCAAACCCACAGGAAGGAGATGGCGGGTGGGAGGCTGGGGAGACGGACGGGGAGCCAGCGTTTCACGGGGACAGGGTTCGGTTCGGGAGGACGGGAAAGCCGTGGAGACGGAGGGCGGCGCCGACTGCCTGGCGTGAGCACGCCTAATGCCGCCCAACTGCACTTTCAAAGAGCCGAGGTGGTGAATTTTGTGTATATTTTACCACAATTAAAAACAGAACAAAAATGGTTGTCAGGGGCTAGGGGACGGGTGGACGGGGTGAGTGCGGATGGGTTACAGGGTCTCCTTTTAGGGAAGGTTCTGGAACTACACAGAGGTGGTGGTTGTACAACCTTGTGAATGCACTAAATGTGGCTGTAAGATGGTCGAAATGGTGAATTTTATGTTACATGTCTCACAACAATAAAACGTGTGCCTCGTGGGGCCCTGGCTCCCGGCAGGTGCTCCTGGGCTCCCCCGTCAGGTCTCTGCAGAGGGCCCTGCGGTGGCCCCGAGGCTGCCGTGCCCCAGGCCGTCCCGGAGCTTTAGTTGCCGATCTCTGTGGGCCGCTGTCGGTCCAGCATGAGAGGAACTGAGCACAGTGATCTGTCAACTGCGCAATGGCCGGCGGGCCTGCGAGTCTCTTCGCGACAGAGACGGGGAGCGAACGCCAGGTGGTGCAAAGGGCTGGACCACGGCGCCGTCCCCTTCTCCGTGGAGGCCCTGGGTGCCAACCGGGACGCACTAAGGCCGCTGCCTGTCACTGGCGGCTCCACTACCCATACCGAAATCTCGTCACCCGCCAGACACGTGACCCTCACCCTCGACCCAGAGGAGGTCAGTGGGTGACGCAGAAGGAAAAGAAAAACCTGACAGTCTCGGAGGAGGAGACACGCCGTCACGTGCAGGCGCACGCCAGCTCCACGCTTGTTTTCGGTGCTCTGGGGGAGCAGCAGCACAAACAGCAGATCTGCCCAGATCTGCAGGGCCACGATAAAGGCCGAGCAAAGCAGGTGCTTATCTGGGCTTCTATCCGCCTCCGAGTGCACAAAGGGGGAAAGGTCGGGCCTCGGCGCAAACATTTCGAAACCGGCTGTGGAACCATCGCTCACCCAGAAGGATGAAGGTCGACGTGGCTGTCTTATCTATTGTTTTATTTTTATCAGCGGGCGAATCCGCATCATTGGGGAGATTTTCTAGGGCTCAACGTGTTTTGAAGTTCTGTGCTGCCGGCAGGGGATGATTTAGGAGTTCCGAGAAGGTCCCGCTCACCCGCCAAGTGTGCCCGCGGGCGACAGCGGGGCGGCCGGAGGCACCAGTCAGGCCAGCCACGCGCTCCCTGCCTTTCCAGGTGGAAGAATTTTTTTATTTTTGGTGACCATGAAGGAAGCCTCGGACCC